TTTTTTATTTTGGCTGCTGTCTGACACAGGGATCCAAACCCTCGACCTTGGTGTTATCAACACTGTGCTCTAACCAACTGAGCTAACTGGCCAGGATTCAAAGTCGTAAATATTGAGTGTATGGAAAGCCTATTATTTTAACTGAATTAAATGCTTCCTTATGATTAATTTCAGAAACTATCAAAAAAAGCATGATTTAAAATCTTTCAATAATAATTTAAATAACTCTAAAAATTTTGTTTTTTTAAAAAAATAAGGTAATTTTTAAAATATTTAGTTTTTATTCTTACATTTCCTTCTTTATTGCTAATCAAGGAAAGTGATTAGTATAAATTTTTTTATTGCCCACTTTTATCTAATCACAGAAGCGTTAACCAACAGGTAAGGGTTTTATAAGTACTCAATATTCATTCTAAACAATTACCTAAAAAGTAATCTGTTGTATAATTTGCACTTTACGAGTGGAGTTTGAAATGTGTTTTCTAACTTTGGTTTCATTGTTCATATCTAGTATAAAGATAGTCCTTTCAAATTCAAATTAACTACCCAAGGGCACACCCTTCCTGGAAAACAACTATACCAATTTACAGTGTTGAATAGGGCTTCTGAATGGACATAGTCAAGTCAGTCAGAATATATTGATGCTTAATTAATGCATCCCTGGAACTAGGATTTCTATCATGATTATCTAGGAAATTTGAATAGGAAAGCTATTGAATGTACTTATGCTATGATGGAGGGGGAATCTGCTTCTTCAGGCAGTACAGAATCACTCCTGGAAATCAGGTATCCTGCAATATTTGCCAGCTGAAACATCACTATGCCATCATTTGTAATTATAAAATGATGTGTGTTCCAGACAAGTAGGTGTCCTAGAGTGCGTGTGTTTGTATCACTTCTCTCATTCTGGCTTTTCATATGGTGTGTTAGTTTCCTACCCAGTACCTTGAGCTCCTGTGACTGAACCCGTCTCTTCTCCATAGCACTTAATACAGGCCTTCTGTGAGATACGTGCTCAGCACATATTTGCTCTCATCTCTGCTCATTAGTGCCAGTAGTTTTTATTGCCTAAAGGGAGGTTTTGGTCATAGACAGGAGTATTACAATTATGTTTGCTTTATTAATATTTAGTGCTTAGAGTTATAAATCTAAAAGTTTTATTTTTATTATTTGTTTTATCTTAAGCTATATATTTTTTTTACTTTTAGCCTGTTTTTAATCAAGGTACAAATCTTACTTTATTTTGAAATATACTAATTTTTAAAAATAAGTCATTTTCGGGCCGGCCCGGTGGCGCACTGGATAGTGCACTGCTTGGGAAGCGCAGCGGCGCTCCCGCCCGAGGGTTCGGATCCCACATACAGACCAGTTCCCGCTCACTGGCTGAGCGAGGCGCGGGAGCAACACCAAGGGGTGCAATCCCGTTGCCGGTCCCGGTCTGGTACGGGGGCGACACTGAGGGTTGCTTGCAATCCGTTGCCGGACACAGAAAAAGACAAAAAAAAAAAAAGTCATTTTCATTTTTTTATTATTTGGACAGAATTCTCCCACTTATACATTTAATCAGTCAGTTCTTTAGACATATCAACTTTTCATAACAAAACTAGTAAACTTTATTCTCTCAAACTCAACACCCTAATAAGACAAAGTTTTGATTCTGACAAATATATCTCTAGCAACTTTTTTTTTTTTTGGTAGCTGGCCAGTATGGGGATCCAAACCCTTGACGTTGGTGTTACAGCACCACACTCTAACCAACTGAGCTAACCTAGCAACTTTTGAAATCTAGTAAATTAGTTTATATAGAGATTAAAATCCCTTTAGGTTTTATAAACATTCAAGTAAATACACACAGAATTCCAAAGTGATTTCAAAAGGTTTTACTTCATTGTATAAACCCAACTTATCAAAAATTACACTTGTTTTTGGTTGTTTTACATATTCATGGGAATTTAAATTTGCTCACTCAAACAAAATCACCACTCTATTAAAAAGCCAGGACTATGTCATGTGCTACCAATTAAAAAAAACCCTAACAGAGGCATGGGGCTAAACACACGTTCCAGAACTAAGCTGTCAGCACCTGTGGAGTGGACATTTTGGAATTGCCAACTCGCATGAGTGAGGCTTTCTAAACTTTCTCCAACCCAACATGCAATGAGTTACCTTTCCCTGAAATGACCTGCCTCTTAGACTGGTTGGAGGGAATTCCTGATCCTCAGTTTATTTATTTATTTATTTATTTATTTATGCATCAAATTTGGAGTAACCTTCTACATCAAGGCTTAAAATTTATTGACGAACTTTGAGTCTCTTGTTTGAAATTATAAGACTTTGTGAATGAATTCATTTTGATGATAGTAATATTGATCATCAGTTTTAATCAGATGCCATTTAATTAACATTAGAGCTAAACTAGTCTTCGAGCCATGCTACTGGGGACATTTTCTAAAAAAAACAGCTCACCAGTACTTCATAATTCTGCCATTTGAACTCATCCTTCAAGGAACAAATTATCTTTCTTGACATACCTTTCCTGTTCCAAGACCTCCATCTTGGAACGAGTCATTAACAGAGGCAAAGGCAATTAATATTTCTCCTAGGTTTTCTTTCTCTGGCAGTCTCTGTCCTTGCCACTCAAACATGCGTTGTGTGTGATGGATTTTCAGCTGGTCCTTCAACCCTAGGTTGAAAGTGAGAATTGTGAAAGAAAAGGCACTTAGATCTCATTCTCTCATGCAATTAGATTAACAATATTCTATTGTGCACCTTCTTTATTCCAGGCATTGTGAACAAGAAAAAGGAAGTCCTTTTCAATTGATGTTTCTGCTAAAAAAAGTCACTATTTATTTGTGTAATGGCAAAGTCACCTAACATTCAGTCCTCATATACAAAACTGAAGGGATTAGAGCAGAATGTAACTTTGAAGTTTGCCAACAACTCTAAATTTCTGCCACTGTGTGTTTCAGTGACTTTCCCCTTGTGTGCCTAGGGATGTATTCTCCCCAGCAATAAACAGAAAAATTAAGCTTATTCTTCTTATCCTAGGCAGTTGCCATCCGTCATGAATGTTCTTGAGCTTCATACTGCTATTTAGATAACTTAGTTTTGGAAGTTCTCACATATCCCTAGATTACATCCTCTTCCTTCACCAATCCTCCCCCAGGTCTTTGACCAAGTACAGTTTTGTTTCCATCACAGTGACCCAAGAAGAGGGTCATAGCTCAAGTGCTTTTCATGGGCAGAGCAGGATAAAAGAACAATTTGGGCCAGGCCTGTGGAGAGTTAACTGCTCATCCTTTAAATAAAAGACAAACAGTCCAGTGAGTATCATGAACACCAATAAATGTACTCATTTATTTTTCTATTTCAAGCCACATATAGTATGATATTAATTGTCTGTGATAAGGGACCTTTTAATCCGAAATGGCAGATTGGAAAAGTGAATTAGAAATTGAAAACAAGTGTTGCTTTGTTTTGTCAACCCTGAGAATGTACTGTAAGGCCCAGTAGATTACATCTGTAAGGACATACTAGGTTTTGAATTACTAGGAAATTGGAGGTACAAGGACTTTTGCTTTGTTAGCTCTCCGGAAGACTATTCTTTTTCTTTTCCTCATGGTTGTTTGAATTCTGTTGAGATTAATAGCTTTTGTGTTTCTAAACTGCCTTATGGAAACTTTATTTGGGTTTCAATGAAAGCATTAGCCCTGAACAGTTTCCAGAGGGAAAAAATAATGGTTAGACTTAACTGTTGATTGAAAAAGTTAAGTTCATTAAGTTAGTCTGGCTTC